TCTACATTGAATAGATATTTTGCTTCTTGCATTTTTGTTTTGGTTCCAATTTGTCTAATCAACACAGCCTGCAGTTCAGCAAAAGAGTTTTGATCAATATTGTTGGTCACAGATGAGTCACTAATGGCTTCCCAATTGCAGAGAAGCTCAGAATTTGTAGTTTTGTTTTGTTTTTTTACCAAATCTGGTTTATATAAACAGTTTATTTTGATGAAACGTAACAATTCTAAGGTTAGTTTTGGTTAAGACGAAACTGCATGCCTTAGTAGTTCAAGGATCATCAGAAAGTTTCAAACTTAAAGTTAACATGCCTTTCAAACTCGCTAGTCCGGTGGTTTTAAAATAGAAATAATGATAAAGAAATCTGAAATGGCGTCGTAAAGGCAATCAGGCAGTGTTGTGGCAGATGTTACAACTCAGTCTTCTATAAATTCCTTTCATAGGCAAGTACAGTAAATATAAGTAACTTCAATATTACTTGCTTATGAGTCGTATTTAGAGCCAAAGCAGTACTACTAACCATGATGGCACCAACCAAGTCTTTGTCTTGACACCAGTGCTAACAGTGGTGGCTCACATAGACAGAGCTGTGACCTCTTGTCATGATGTTCAAATCCAGGAAGCAGCTTCTTTTTATGGACACAACTTGGTGGAAAAAAAAAAAAAACTAAACAAAACAATGTATGTTCGCTTTTGAAATATAATTTAGTGCCTAAGATTGCAGTGCAGCTGGAGTCAACACTTTTTTTAACTACAGCAATTTGCAACATGGGTACGATTTTTTTAACCACTTTTGTAGGAACACAGGCAGTCATGCCTGGTTCATTTCCATGTGCTGCTGTGTTTCGCGAGTGCAGTTTTTGCGCACTAAGGGAGCATGTGATTTACCCTGAAATCATGCCGTAGCATTTTGTAATTACAAAGTAAGCCATATTATCCCAAACAGCCTCCCTGAGCCATGAGTATGACTAAGCCGGTTCTGTGTCTGTGATGCAATGTCAATGCTGAGTAGTTGTTTATTGTGAAGGTACAATTGTGTCCCGGAAGTGTGCTTGGCAGTAGCTTAGTCACAGTAATGCAGAGTCACCACGCAGGCTCATAATTAATTGAGGATGTCTCACAGACCAGCAACACGAGCTTAAAAAAAGAAAAATCACAGAATAAAGCAAATGTCTCTATATGTGAGAAAGGTGTGGTGTATCTACACTATTATTATTTGAATAATCAATTTGCCGATGGATGATGAATGAAGGACACATTTTTCTGGAAAGGACACGGATAAAAGGAAGATGCTTTGGCCAAGATAACTGTAAAGGACAAGGAATCAGAGGAAAAGGAAATCTCAGTGATGAATAGCGGGAGCAGGCCGCCATACAGGTAGTGGAGAGAAGATAGAACCAAGACAGCTTCAGTCAAGTAAACAAAGCTGCGTTTAACATTTTCTAAGTATCCTGCACCTGAAAGGAGAGACCGCTACTGTAACAGCTGAGTAATGGCTTGATATATTTCCCCTCGATCTTATCTGATTTTGTGAGCTTTTGTGCGCAGACAAAGGAATTACAGCCACTGAACAACCGACTTTAATCATTCTGAGAAATGCCTCACTTAATAGCAGTTCTGGGGGTTGTTTGTCATGTGTGTCTCCACTGATTTTGAACAGCCCCTCCGAGCAGTTCACCTGTATATGTGTGTGTGGTGTGCCTGAAACAGATATGAGGGGACTTCCTGCAAGATGAAACTTGTCTTTTTTAACAGCAAAAGGATCACTCTGTGGGAAGCAGTTTGCAAAAAAATAACAAGATAAATAAATAAACCAACTTACAAAGCTGAAATGAATCTGATAGTCTTCTTTCAAGGTTCTGCAAAAACAACAAAAGCCAGCGGACAACTTAATTTTTTTATTTTCCTGACCATTTGTAACTTATACAGCCATGATTATAGCCAAGTATATTGCTTATGATGGGGGAAAAACTAGACTCCCTAGTATGATATGATTCCTTTTCATGCAAGAGTTTTGATCGTATAGGTTGGCTATGAAAGGATGTGGAATTGTTCTGGGGGAAGATCCTTTGCCAAGACCCTTAAGAATAGGCTAATGTGGAAAGCTGAGCTTGTTTGCATTGGGAGTAATGCTGCTGATACTAGACGAGACTAACAGGAGTGGGCTGCTAAACAAATACCACAGATAGAAAATAGGCTTAAACAGAAAATATAGAAAAGTCAGATTCCATAAAGTCAGATGCAGCACTCAGCTTTTCTGCAAAAACAATGAATGGTTTATTGACAAAATGACATTTGCCATCTGTGTTGCAAGTCTGCTGCCTTGTGAGATGGACAGACAGCAGTAGATACTGTACATCTACACCGCTGATTAGAGCACCAACTGGAACACAAGCACACACGACTATGCATACATTGTGAAAGTTAAGTTTTCAATTATATTGTGATCCTTCTATAGTTGATTTAAGGGTAGAGTTTTTAATTTTGGGCAATATGCTCACTTGCTTTCAGGCAGAGAGTTGGATGAAAAGGTAGCCACCACTCTCAGGTCCATGTAAGATATTTGAAGTTTACTTGAGCGGCCACATAGCTTAACTTAGCACAAAGACTGGAAACATAGGAAAACAATTAGTCCAAAATCCACCTGCAATCACCTCGAAAGCTCACTGATTCCATGATTTAATCTCCTTTGTTTAATTGGTTTAAAAAATCTGGGCAGTGGCCAGGTAGTGGAAACTCCATAACGTCACTGGTCCTGGCCAAGAAATAGTTTGAGTGGAGTGATGTTTTTGGTTAACACTTGGTTTTTGTCCAGATTGAACAAATAAAATGTAATTTGATTATTTATGAATAAGTCAAGATTTAATCAGGCTAGTTTTTTTGCTACGTTAAACTAACCTGCTGCTGGCTGTTGTCTAACATTGAACAGACAAATATGGTCGTGTCATCCTGCTGTCTTTTACTATTACATTCTATTATAGTACATGTTTTAAAACACTTAACTGTGGAGCCTCAGTAGTAGTTAGTTTTCACTTTGACATAAGAGTCTTTTTTTTGTAAATGAATTGACCATGATTCACTGTTGAAAATCAAAAACTGAGGCTGGTGCTCCAGATACACTATTTTATCCACTTTTTTTACCTTTTCGGTGCACATTTGGCTTAATTTAACCATTTTTCTCACCAGAACAACGAAAATCAGAGTCAGAAAAAAAGGTCTGCATTCATAGTTTTATTCAGCGTATTATCAAAAGCATGTCACATTGCAGTGTTGTGTGTTTAACTTTCACCAACAAGTGAACAAATCATACTTTCTGTGTTAAGGCGTAAACCAAATGTTCTAAAATGACCAACTTTTTTTTTTTTTTGAAAGGGCAGAAACCTGCTCTGAAGTTGTTTTAAATATTTTAAATAATTATTAGTCTCAGACTTGTTCTGTGAAAATAATTAATCTGTGCCTTGTCAGGATTCTCTGCGTCATGTCCAAATGTCAAAATATTGCCTGCTGACTTCCTAATCAACCCATGCTAAGTCTGGATGTTATTATTGAATCATTGTTGCAGGTGTGCAGCATCACCTCTTACAACAAAGACATAGCTGCAGAGAAAGTCAAATCCGCCTCCAAAGTATTCTGAAAAGAAAAGATCCATTATTTAACCAGAAAAAACTAAAATAAAAATTAAAGTATGCAAAAATCTTGAGCGCTTGATAAAATGTTCCCAGGCAAAATATAAATCTGTTTTAGTCACACAGAATAGAAAGAGAACACCTTGACTTACCTCAAGGCGAGCAAGCATTATTCAAAGCTCTGACTCATCAGAATGATTGAGGATTACATGACTGTATAGTTTTAGTAAAATTACTTATATTTAAAACATGCATTGAGTTTAACTTTTTAGTTTACAGAGTTTACATTCTGACAGTTTTGTTTCTGACAGTGAATGATATAAAAATGTAGTGTGGTACAACGGGAAGTTCAGGTTTAGTTTTAAATTAAAATGCCTGAAAACATATACTTCTCTGTGAAAACATGTCATGTGCCATATGTGCTTCGCAGTGCTCTTGTGGTGCTCTTCTTACATCTCTGTTCTATAGATAATTTTGATATTTTAAGTGGTTTTACAACAAATTTTAACAGATCCTGGTTTTATACTCCGCCCTGTGTTGTTCGCAGCTTTTATTTTATTCACCAACACTAGACGAGTACGCATTTTTGTTTTGCAGTAAACTAAGGTGAGGGGGAATCAAAACAATACGACCACAGACACATACGTTGTGCGCTGGGAGAGGAAACAGAGCCGACGGATGTGATGTGAAAATAGCATTTAACAGCTTGTGGTTTGATGTAACAGGATGAGAGGAGGATGAATTGTCACTGAGAGCCTCGTGTTGAGGTGAAAGGATCTCCAGGGGCTGTTTGATGTCTGCGCAGCTCACACTGAATCCTATCTCGCCTTATTGTGTCCACACAGAGTTCTCAAAATTGGATCACAGCTGATTTTTATCTTTGAATGTGGATCACTATGATTGCATTAGATAGGAAGACTACACCCCCCTCATAGTCTCCTTGTTTCTCTGTTCCTCTGCTTATTTCCATTTTGACTTTACTCCTTCTCAGAGCAAATATGGCAACCTCACAGAGTGCCTCTGTCTTTACTGTTCAAAAAAAAAAAAAGATTTTTAGTGAGGCATTTTATGATAGTTTTGCATTTCTAACGTTAAGGCATTTTTCATACTGCTGTGTCAACTTTCTGGAGAAAGAAGTTTTTATCTCTTTGTGACTGTAACCCCTTTGAACTACTCTTTCATAGGAAGCCTTCTCAGTCTGTTGCATCCAAGTACACTCGCTCCACCTCACTCCCTCCCTCATGAGGCATTTGAAATGCAAAGTGCTTTTTATATTCATTTTCTTGTTTCCATTGAGCAGATCTGAGTCAAAAATCTAACCCGTTTCTTTTCCCTTTCTTTCTTTTTTTCTCTGCTTTTCCTTTCTTTCTTCAGTTAATTCATACCATCAGTGTGGTAGACAGAGACGAGCCACAATCCGGGCACCGCTTCTACTTCACCTTGGCCCCCGAAGCCTCCAACAATCGACACTTCACCCTGTGGGATGTCAAAGGTGAGAGGGCAAAGATCCGTTATTGGGGTTATGGATGAAGAGGCATATTTGAGTAGCTGTGCTGAGGTCATTATCAGCACAATTTTTAGGCTGTATTGGTAAAAGAGGAGTACTATAAGACTGCATGCTATTTTGGTTGTGAGCAATTTAAACAAGTGTAAGTAAGGTGCAGGTAAACATAACTGTCAAATGTTCAAGAGCACAATGAAAATGGAAGATTTTAGGGTAATACCAACCTTTACTAAAATGCCCTGCAATGTGAGAATGTGTTAAACTCTATGAGGGAATTCTGCAAATGTAGACCTAAATACAATGTTGACTTAGTTTCAAAGGCTGCATCTCCGAGAACCTCGTCAAAATCATTAGAAATAATTGTAATTTCTTAGTTAAGTTCAAGCTTTTAAAATTGTTAGCATGCCTGTGTGGAGGTTTTATATGAAAAATAAGCAAGCAACTTCGTGGCTAAGTGTTTCTGCCTTGAAACTGCAGTGTGCCAAAGAGAGTCTCAAAAACACAGCTTCAGACAGCCAGGGCTTCATATGTAACAAACTTCAGGAACCAATCTGGTCAGTTTGCATTGTAGGGCTGCTTGTATCGCTAATCTTTGGAATCGGTTTACAGTTTGAATATGTATGACTAATTACTCCAGTATTACACCTTTCATTCTGTATCACAGATTAGTTTTACTGCGTTTGAACAATGTTGTAGGTGAGCTGGTGTGCTCAAGATGCAGTGAGCAGTGGAGGGAGCAGCAGGAAAGAAAAGGCAGGGATACTACGTTTGTGCATATTACAGGAGGCAAAGGTGTTGAGTTACATCGAAGATATTTTAAAGCTTGATGGGATCATTTTCATGGAAGTATAAAACCCAAATTCTAAAATGTGTAATTTTAATGAGCACAGTTGAGCTTTTAGGAATATAATTAATGCCAGGAGAGAGACTTTAACATAAGACATTTCATAAAGTTCATTTCCAGGAGGTTTTGAAAATTGCTTTTCACTTTTTCAAAGTGAAAGCAAAATAGTGTATTTTCTCTTTGATTAGCCATTTGCCTCAATCATGCAGATGTTTGTTTATTATTACTTTTGGATGAACACCACCTGTTCTGGTCCTCCAAGCAGACTAATATTCTCAGTGCACAGACACTGCATGTCTGTGTCCATGTACTTGCAAACAACATTTTTCACAACTTGTCTGGAGAAGTTTGCTTGACAATATAAACTGCAATGCTAGGCTGAACTTTTTTTTTCCCTACAGTAACAGAATGTTGTATGAAAGCATTAACTTTATATATATTCATATTTCTCAAGTGTCACGGAAATCGTATTAAACCCAGCATTTCTACGTATCTGCAAAATGTAAGGAAACATTAAAATCACTGTGTTCCCCAGTGATGGCTTTGCTTTGTCAGGAAGATGAGTTTTTTCATGCTTGTCTGTGTTTTTGCAAACGCGCTTGCAGATCCCTCGTTTAGAAATGTGTACCTAAGTAAATGTGACATCTGGCTAAATCAAGATTGATCTGACACCAGTAAAATGTCAGGGGAGCAGCCCGAGCCAGGGAAATGTCACCATGCGAATGCAGCAAGGCCTGCTGCAGTCCTGCTCACATGCATGTGAATGGAAAAGCACACACCACAAGCCGTGTGTACTGTGTAATAAACACACTGTGTATACACATGTGCTTAGAAGGGCAGCGGGTAGGAAAAAGTCTGACAGACGAGTCCCTCTGGCTCTTTCTTTCTCGTCTTTACACCATGATTTGAGCACATGCCTATAACACAACATTATGATCAGTTTCTCTGTTCTGTTTCCTTTTTCTGCCACTACCTCTGTTATTGTGGGTGTTAATAGCTGCACCTAGCTGGCAGTGTGAAGCGGTGTGTATGTGGGTGATTAGGGAGAATGATAAATAATCACAGTATATACAGTCTTGAATTCAATGTTACACCTCCCACCCCGTTTCTTCGACACACACACACACAAACAAATACACACATTTCTCCAACTATATAGGTAGTCATCCCCTGTATGTATGCAGTGAAAGGCAAACAACACACCACCTAGACTTTTTTTTTTTATCCTCCTACCCTTCTTTTTTCCACTCTGGTGTCTCTTTTCATGGACACATTTGTCAACCTGTCACTTTCAATCTGTCACTTCTTCTTTTCCTCATCATGGCCTCACATTGCATTCTGTCTCCAAGCCTTGACACACAATGATAAAAAGGCATTTTTTTCCCACGTTGCTAAACTCTTTGAAGTCATTGCTGGCAGTCTGTAAAGCAGAACCTTATCTTACCAAATAAAGTTTGCTGCTACATGACAAACTGCCATCATGTTACCTGAGAAATGTCCCAAATCAGAAATCTCATATAAAAAAACAGTGAAAGAGAGACAGAAATGAACATTTAGGTGAACGTGATTCATAAATTTTAAGTGTGTTAAGTGAAAACAGATGCACTATCTGGATGGTTGGGTAAACATTACATACAATACAGTATAAAACACATATTTGAGAGGATTTGTTTTCAGACTCATGCAGCTTTGTGTTTATTTCAATTTCCCTATGAAGCAAAAAGAAAAAAAACTAAACCTAATGATATTATTTACTGTTTTTTAAATGCAGTGAAGGTGAGCGTGGGAGGCAGTTTCCATCAAACTTAATGTATTGCCAAGTTTTTAAGCATAGTAGTTTTGATTCAAAGCCACATAAGATGCCTCTGTGTATATACCGTATGTATGTTTTCATATGTCTCGAGAGGATCTTTTATTTATTTATTTTTTTCCAAAGTATGCAGCTGAGGAAGAGAATGTTGTGTAAAAGTCAAAAGGACAGACTCAGGGGTGCAGCATTCCCGCACATAAACAGTAATATGAAAATTGTTGTACATGTGCCAGAGGAGCTCTAGGGTGACATGGATAACAGTGATATATGTTCTGGGAGATGGATTACTTGCTATCCGCTATGCAAGTCTACCCACAAAGCTACTCTGACTCTATTTGTCAAAGCCCCGTCCTGTATTCGCTGTTACATTATCCGTGTCTCTGGCGGAGAGCTTGTATGCACATCGGTGAAGTTTAATTTCAAACAGTGGCTCTCACACTCATTTTCCCTCCTACGTTTTTTTTTTTTTTTTTTTTCCTTAAGAAAAAAAAAAGATAAATGTAAATGGCACAAAAGTAGTTTGCTTTCCCAGTGAAATCATTTAACCTCAAGGTAAACCTGACAGTCCTGACACCTTCTGTCTGAAGTCCTTGAACTATGCATTATGGGGAATTATTTATTCTACTGGCTTTGTATGATAAGGATGGTACTTGGTGCTCCATCAGTGTTGCTCGTAAACACTTGAACACAAATGCACTTTCTTGAAGAAGTTATTTTCACTGCAATCAAATGGTAAACATTCTAGATTGTCAAGTGTAAGTTTTGAGAACTATGATTTTTCTGGATGTTTTAATAATGTCAACTTGACCTGTATAATGAACTCTTGTCGTTTCTTTTCCTATTTCTTCTTTCAGTGCAAATAAAAATGGCTCACTGGATTGACTTTCATCAACTCTACTACAGCCTGGCAAAAAAAAAAAAGAAAAAAAAAAGCAGACAGTAGTGAGCAGACAAAGAGGCATTGTTCTTCAGATATGAAATCGCTCATGTGTAATTCTTTGCTTTGCCTTGTCTCTCTGACCCCAACCCCCCCCCGAAACTAACTCACACCGCCCGCCCAGACAACACAGCTGGCATCCGCACCCAGCGATCAGGCTTCAACCGCCATGAGCAGAACGTGTACTTCCTGCCGATTCTAGTGGTCGACAGCGGGCCTCCCTCCCTCAGCTCCACAGGCACCCTGACCATCCACGTCTGTGGCTGCGACCCAGGTGAGAGCTACTGTAGGAGCTGCACCATTACTAACATTATCATCACTGTCACTTTCCACTGCAGCACTACTAAAAGGTCATCTACATGTGGTTGTTTTGGTCAGCAAGCAGTTCTTATCAGCTTAGATTTGTGGAAAACAAAATAACACAAAGCCACAAAAATCTGTAGACAAATGGCCCACTTTGCGGTTTTCAGCTCAGTAATAAAATATATATATATGGCTGTATGTGATAAAACTGATTTTTATTTTTTTTTTTTTATTCTTGCTAAGACAGTACTTAGTCTTCGTCCACTGAACTGACTCAGTGCTGGTGTTAAATCTGGACAGTAAATGCTCATTTTCCCCTCTACAACACAGAGGGAGCCATCCAGTCCTGCAATGCCACAGCCTATGTGATGAGTGCGGCTCTCAGCCCCGGGGCACTTATAGCACTACTGGTCTGCATGCTCATCCTCATAGGTAAGCAAATGAATGCTCTCATGTATGTATGTATGTATGTATGAATGAATGGGTGTATGAGGGATAAATGTATGGATGTATGATGGAGGGCTAGGTGGATGAATAAGCACAATTTATTAGCATTGCTTTTTCAGGGGTCATAGCTCAGTTCAACTACTCCACCAGGACCACAGGGAACATCCTGTTCAATAGTGGGATGCACGAGTGAAAAGATAAGTCTGAGGGCTGCACCAAAAGACACGACTCCATGCCTTCTGCGCATAACATCATGCAACCAAGCATGTGTCTTTTAATGGATTGACCACTTTTAGAAGTTATCCATATTTCACGAACAAAATTGCACATGCAGTGGCAGAAAAACTGGGATGAATGACGTTAAAACAGGATACATTTTTCATGTTTCTCTCATGTTCTTATTGGACATCGTGTTGCTTTCTTTTGTATGCAGAAAGCTTTTGTTTAAACAGGGGCACAGGTGACGCCTGGTTTTATGAATGATATCAAGTCACTTTGATCCCGGGAACACAGACGGAGATGGAGTGAATGGGAGTGAAGGGGTGGTGGTGGTGGTGGTGGGGGGGTTAAGGAGAGCAAACAGGCAAAAGAGCTGCTTCAGCACTCGCATCCCTCTGGTACAGCAGGCTTTAAATAGACGAAGCTTTCCAGACATTCTTGGATTTTTATAGACGGACACGTGCACATGTGCACGCGCTAACATACACATGCATGCACACAGTCACCCTCTCAGAGACCAAAGTTGTTTGATATTGTCATATTTGAAAATTTTATGAGTTAGTTTCTCGCTCTCCCCCCACTGTATGTCTTAGCGTCCCACTCCTCAGTGACAGCGAGAAACGACAGCGCTGTCACAGTGTTTTGTCTCCCCCGCTCGTGCCTCTGCACGTTTTACGTCGAGCAGGCAGAGAATGATGGATGAGGTGACACTACGCAGCTTTAACTGTGACTAACATTGCTATCTATTTCTTTTAAGAGCTTTTCTAATGAGAGTTGTTAAAACTCTGTCTCCATTAACCAAACCATCTACTGCAGTGAACTTCAAAAGCAGGGCATCATTTATTCATCGTGGTTTTAAAAGCCTCAACAAAAATGTTGTGTACAAATCTGAAGCAACCTCTGCTGGCTATAAAAAAAAAAACGCTGTGTTTACAGTGTATGGTTTTGGTGTTCTGGGCTTGATGACACCACCTCACAAGCGGGAAAACAATTCTTTGACCCTTAATATAGAAAAAAAATACTGTTTGGAAAGAAAAACAAAATGATTAATTGTACATAGAAATTTTTCGTGACAGCCTCAGTGGAATAAAATCAACATTATGCAGTTTTTCATGATTCCTGTGATAATAAAATGATGCCATGTTGGTTCTAGTGATGTCATCGTCTCCAATCTTTGACGGTTCCATGCCACCCTGATGCGTGAGTGGTAGAAAATGGACTCACCTCAACTCTAATCAGAGCATGAAGGGACAGACTCAGTTGGAGCACCTACCTTCAGCTATAGTCAACATGTGGACAATGAAATCTCAGAGCTGCAGGGTTTGGGTTCATGGGGATGAGCAGTGTTTTCTCAACTATCATGTGGTGTGAATAACAACATGAGAGTGAGGCCTGTGACAGCAATCTTATCGTCTCGAGTGCACAATGCCTGGCTCTTTCCTGCTTTCCCTTTACTTAGTGTGTCACATATGCACATTTAAATTGCTTGTGCACGCATTACCAGGCTCAGAGAAATCACTCCACACCTCCTAACTGCGATGCGATCCACTCTCTTATTATTGCGTGCACATTGTCCTCTCTCTCACACACACAGTGACCACCTAACCAGCCAGCCCGCTCTATCTCTCTCTCTCTCTCCAGAGGCTGGACCACCTATTACATCAATTGTTGGATGATGAGAAAAATGAAAACAAATTTCTGCCTAATTACCTTACAAACAAACAGTCCCTCCATCAGTTCATTTATAGGCCTGATGTGATGAATCCATTCCACTGCGTCGTAGCATCTGCATGCATCCATTCCAATTACCTCCCATCTGCTTGTGATGAACTCCCGCGCGGGGGCAACCAGCGCCGCCCAAGGGTAAATTAACCGTCTTGTCAGGAACGCTTATCGCAACATCTGTACACATGGGGACCGGCTTTGTATGTATAGGAGTCAGCTATACACAGGTACATATGCTTCCTGCAAAACTAAATTCTGTAAACTGTGTTGTATTAACATTTTAGAAGGCATGCTAATGATGTACTTTAACAAGTTACAGTTCAAGCATCTGCATACTGGAAAGGTGGTGACACTCAGTGTGGAGAGCTTTGTCAGAAGTATGTTATCTGATCATCTTTGTTCCAGTAATAATGGCACACACTCTTTAACAGGATTTTCTGAAGAAGTGGCTAATCTGCACATATGAGGGAGTTCATAACATCAAGTTTTCTGCCTCCTATTACTCTTCTCATTAGTGTGAATTTAGAGTAATTGTCTTAGCACTTGTTTAGTATGCATGGCGCCGTGTGCCACAGTTTACCACAAACCACGACTTTTCTTCAACCCCATGGCAATTAATTTGCCCCATTCAGGGAGGAGAAGAATAAACACAAAGGCCACAGACAACGCTTTCCCAATGGAGCCAAGCAAACAATGTAAGAGGAGAACAACTGTACATTATCAGTCAGAGATACTGCGTTAAATCCCCATTCAAGACCAGCAAGGCTTTTCAGTCTGGCACGGCTCTTTAGGCATAGAAATCGAGAAGTTATTTTTAAGCAATTTATGCCAAATGAAGACAATTACCAGGAGCAGCAACAAGTAATTCATATGGATAACATCGGCATATAATTCTGTATTTTTCTTTTGCCCTTTCCTTTGGAGAAAGAAATGAGTTTGGAGGATGAGATGAATCCTGACTTCCAAGGTCACTATGAAAGAGTGCATTTTTCAATAGGCTTTTTTAATGCATACTAATATGTGGGCTTTAACATGTGTGAATTTCTTGTACACAGCATATAAACTCTTGACATCGATCTAGTTTGACTGCGAAACAATGTGGCAATATTTCATTTTCAGGGGGTATGGATGGGTGTCTTGGTAGGTTCGAAACAACAAACAGCCTATGCTATCCCAGACAGCGCAGGCCCCATTATAATTGACAGTCTTTTTATCACTGTGGGCTTGTAAGCATTTGTTTGAGGCAAGAGGCTATCTGTTCCAGAAGATGCATGGTGTCTACTAGTTAATGATCTATCTAAATGTCCTTTCACTGGCGTCTCTTTGGAGTAGTTGCTCATTGTGCCTGTTAAAAGGAAGAAAAAAGGATAATACAGTCACTAGATGGCCACGGTAAAAGAAATGTCCTTCTACCAATCAAAGTTCAGCAAGTAAAGACCAAATAACCTTATTATTTCAGTATAATCATCTTTTTATAATAGAAGTCTCATCTCTGATGATGAGTATTTTTTGAGGATTTATGAGGATTACTTAAGGCCATAAGTATGTGTTTCAAAAAGACCTACCATCCAAGTTTTTGCCAAATCAGATGATATTGTTAAATGGGAGAGCAGGAATAGATGTCTTCATTATAGAGAAGTAAACAAATAAACCGTACCCCATTTCACCAAATTTGCAAGAAGCAGCCTGCAATTTTCAGCGTAATTTATTTTCGCTTTAATTTTCATTTATTTTCTTAATCAGAACAAATGCTTGACTTACAATCCTTACATGGATCCATCCGTGTAGTATTTAGTAATTTTTCTTCAATTTGTAAGAGGCCATCACTTTTGAAAACAGGACAGTGCCGCCATTTATGATCTCTTTGCAAGTAGTGTTCACAAATAGCTTTAGGGACTCAAGCCCCTGATCAATACCAAGTATTGTAAAACCACTGAAAGCATGAAAAATGGGTTTTCAAAATAACCACAGTATAATGGTGTAAGATGATGAGTGTAAAAATAGTGCATCCAGTTGGACAGACACTGGTTTGATAATCGAGACAGGCACCCTGTAATGCTAGTAAACTGCAGTTGTGCAGGTTCACTTTTTGGAATACTGTAGATGTTTTGTTGTTCTTTTATATGTATGTATTAAATAGATGTCTGCCCAATTTAAGTGACTGCAACATTAGAATAAAATAATTCTCAATAAAATCGTAAAATCACTCTGATTTGGTTAACGCGTGTGTTGGAGGGTGTTTGCCATGTACTGTACATTAATTCCTCTGCACATTCTTATTTGCTTATTAATTAGTTAATTAAAAAGTGACTTGATTGCTATTTATCCTACTATTAAAAATTGAGTTGTTCAGCGTCTTCCTCACCGTCCCCAGTGTACACAATTCATTATTAACTGGCTGTAATATGTTTTTATGATCACTGAAAATGACATTTGAAGTTATTGAAAATCTCAGACAAATCTGGTGGAAGTTTCAGGGGGAACAGTGCAGCCCTGAGGAGGGATGATGAAGTCAGGGAGTGGGTGTCTGAGCTAAGTGAGACTCGTCTAATCACAAATGTAGGCAGTAATTAAAATAACTAAGCTGAAATTAAAGCCCCATTGATTTATCTGTGCATACAGCCTTTGTTTTCCTCTCGTCTCATTAGTCTATAACATGATCCATCTCAATTGTTTTCTCTTTTTTAATCCAGTCTAAATTTTCCCGAGGCAGTTCTATCTCTTTCGAGGTGGTTGCCTCGATTTTTAAGTTGAAGAATCGCAAAGTCTTGCTTTCACTCGACTTGGATGAGTATTGATATACAGATTGGCTTCCATTAGGCCTTTTGAATCATATTTCTGGGCAAGGCAATCAGGAATGTGAAAAATCAATGCTCATGCATTTGAAATGTAAAACTTGATAATATATTATCTTCCCCTGTTGTGCCTTTGCCCTGAGAGGTGAAATCAAAGTTACAATGGGTGTAGTTCAAAACTTTCCCATGGAAAGTCCTTGCAAATCCATCATGCTCAGGACATGGTTGACATATACATTTAGTATAATTATTTTCTTTGGTACAGTTGTTTTCTTTGCTACTAAATGCCTTGGATCTTGGTTTGGTGTGTCATTTCTCGTAACAAAACGGAGAAGAATTCAATTTTTGCACACAAGCTCTTTAAATTAAGCCTGACAATGCCTAATCCTTGTCTACTGTGCAGCGAGTGTGAAAGTCGCAGGCTTCAAAACACTTGCTGAAATGACAGTTTATAAAATCCTTTTAGAAGTCAGGTTAATCTGACAAATTTGAATTTAACCTGTATATGGTGTTGTGCCAAAACATGAGCATGCAATACATCGTGACATAGATTTTCTTGAAATACCCGTTCCGTTAACCTGTACTGTACATGTTTCACCATTAATGTGGGATTACACTTGTGGTCTCTTTTTTTCTGTCTTGTTCCATTTCCCTCTCCATCAGTTCTTGTCTTGCTGATCCTAACCCTAAAACGCCACAGGAAGGGCCAGAGGATGGCAGAGGACGAGGAGGACATGAGGGATAACGTCATCAAGTACAACGACGAGGGCGGAGGGGAGCAGGACACTCAGGCATATGACATGAGCGCTTTGAGAAACCTCTATGACTTCCCAGAGGCCAAGAGCTGTGACTCTGGCCCAGACATCCGCTCCCTGCCACAGTGGATACAAGCCAGCCGAGTGGGCGGCGGCGCAGAGGCGGCCGCCGCGGCAGCAACAGACTTCTCCCTTTTCAAAGGCTACATCCGAAAGAAGGTGGAGCAGGCTGACGCTGACCTGTCGGTGCCGCCGTATGACTCCTTCCAGACATACGCCTTTGAAGGCACCAGTTCACCTGCACTTTCACTCAGCTCCATCCACACATTGTCCACCACCTCGGAGCAGGATTTCTCCTACCTCAGCGACTGGGGACCACGCTTCAGGCAACTGGCAGGTTACTATGCTCCAGGAAACCCTGAGGAGGAAGGGTCCTAGCACAGCTTCTCCTCTGCAGAGACATTTAAACTCCACCTTCTTCTCCTCGTCTCACCCTCTGGCACTCTTCTGAGATCAGAGCCAGCACTGTGTACTCAGTAAAGACAGAGTACCACGTCTTTATCTCTTTAAGAAAATTCCCAGTCTCAGACTTTTGAACTCCTTTGAGAAAACTTGGTTGTTTTTGGGTTTTTTTAACACTTGTTTGTTTTTTTGTGAGTTTTCTGACTTCCGTTTGAAAGCTCCAGTGATGATATTAGTAAAAAAGGGGGAAAGAATGAGGGATATCCAAAACTGCCATTTAGACGTGTTGAGGGAGAATGTGTTTCTCTCCCAGATGAAAACTTTTCTTTCAAGATATGAGACTGACTCAAAGAGCATCGACATTACATAGGTACGGTTAAACCATGCCAAGGCAAACTGTCTGACAAACATGTATTTATTTAAGAAGGGGATATTTATCTATTTATTTGTTTTTATGTATTTATTTATTTATTTATACCACAATCGCTATGGTAACTGCAGCGGTGCACTCTGCTGCTGACGTGCTAAAGAAAGAGTCAGGGACGAAGGACACTATAAGAGAGATGAGAAACAACGTGGAAAAAAAAGAAAGAAAAAGAAGAACTGCAGTGACAGAGGACACAGTACTGGTGCAGAGGTGACATGTGGATCATCTAAAAAGTACTCTCTGGAAAATATTTTTATTTATTTTCTATTGCCACTTTTGTAAAATAACCAACTTAAGACAGATATATGAAAAGCGAAGGCAGATAGAAAGGGAGGGAAACAATTGGAATGAAAGAATTGCAGAAGAAAAGAGCTTCTAGTTCAGTCAAACCGGCTGAGACTGACACACTTTTGCTGTATTTTAGTGATTTCTAAAAAAAAAAAGAAAAAAAAAAAAAGAAAAAAATTGGGGGGTTGGGATTTTGGAGGTCACAAACTGAGGACAATTGTGTGTTAACAATTTCTTTTCTTATCTTCTCCACAGCCATTTGTAAGGCAATAAGGCACAAACCGCAACAGTGATTTAAGACTAAACAAAATGACTGTTTCATGGAATTGGCTGGGGGCCAGCTGTGTCCCACAGGGAGCCAATCTTCATTCCAGATTTGTGTGTGAATGTGTACAATATGTTCAATTCATTTATATCCTCTTTGATTTTGCTTTTGATATTTGATTTCCTTCAGGGGGGTGGGAAGGAGGGAGGGGGGAACTAGTAACAACAGAATGGTTGTGTCTAATTAATAGGGAGTGGATTCCGGGCTAACACGTGATGAATGGACTGGTCACATTCACCTGATATCCACAACCTATTCAGTGTTGACCTTAACTTGCAATTGTATGGAACATTAAAAAAAAGAAAAAGAAAAAAAAAAGATGAAGACAAATAAATAAATATTTAATTTTTTTTGGTAAAAAAACGACATCTTGTTGTGTCCAATAAAGTGAATTACTCAGTGAATTGCTCTGTAAATGGGATCACAGAGATAAAGTAAATAGAGCATCCGTGTTACTAATTATTGTTTGCCACTTGTTAGCTGAAGATGTCTCCTGAATTATGAATAATTGTGGAGCAAGCTTTTGTTTACACCAGGGGTAGATTCAGAGAACAGTCGTAGACGGAAACAAACAGACCATATGACAGGCCACAGCCAAACAAAGACTCTCCTCTCAGCGTGTCTCCCTCCCGGCTGTCTTCTGCCAAACTACTGTAATTGTCGTAGTCACCAGAGGATGCTGAGGCACATGAAGTTGCTTTCATCTTTATGATCTGCTGCTAAAATGGCCAGTCAGACAGTGGCTGAGATTCACATTCTGCTGCTTTCATAACTGGATTTTCAAAGTAATAGGTCTACTGTATCCACTGATAGTTTGCTGGGAACTGACATTAAACTGTGTTTCAAACATAAATTATCCATCACTGCTAGACAAAAAGAAGCTTTATCTAGATTTTGTTTTTGTGTTGGGGGGCTGAAGTGGAAGCAACTTGAAAAGAAATTCAAAATATTGCAGCTGTCACACTCTGTTTTGTCCTTTTTTTTTTTTTTTTAACCAGCACAGGAGCGATGC